AACTTCAAAACAGACACTCAAAATATAAAACACAAAATGAATTCAAAACACAAAACTGAAATACAAAGAGAACGGCCCTTTAGGGTGCGTGGCCTGTGAGAGAAAAAACAAAAAAGGTGCGTGGCCTGTGAGAGAAAAAACAAAAAGAAAAGTGGGCGGCGGAAAATTGGAGGCTGCCTTGGAGTTTATATACAAGGGTTTTGCTATTCGTCTATAGCCGTCGCATGTGGTGCACCCCTATTGGCTGGGCATTTATCCTCCTGAGAGTGACCTCTACCAAAACTTATCTATGAATTATATGATTCATTATTTAATTCATAAAAAAAATATACACACTTATCTTCTTTTGGAGTCACAGAAATTTCATAGAATAGACACAAAGGTGGGCCCCACATGTATTTAAAAAAAACAATTAGCACGGGGCCCACCTTTGTGTTATTATGTGAAATTTCCGTGAGCAGTGCTTCGAAGTACTTTTGTCAAACCCTTGGAGATTCCACCCCGTGCCGGCTTGGTTTTGAGGGGATACTTCTTGTCCCCATTACATCATCAATAAAGTTAAATGTATAAGTTTGATTCACATTGAATTTCACATCCTTCTCATATGAGAGATGAAGTCAGCGATTGTGGACCCCATCTCTATGTGAGAGAATGTGAAACTTATAACTTGTTTGGTAGAGATTAAAATCGGATTAAAATTGAAAAACTAGCCGTTATTGTTGACTTTTATTAGACGAGTGAGACCCAATAACGACTATATTTTCAATTTTAATTACTACCAAAATCTCTTAATGTGGATCAAGTGTGTACATCTAACATGGTTCATCCATCATTAACTGGAAAATAACATCAGAAAATCGTTAACAACTTGAAATTTTTGCCTGAAGTCTCTCTTAGATTTATCCCTCCACCATTCTCAATTCCCACACATGACTGAACTGGTGTGTGCATCAATCATGGAACCTGCAATTTCCATCACGATCCTTCTTCTGTTTCTTCCTCTTCTCTTTCTACTGACCTACAGGAGATCTTTCAAAAGAATACCCCCAGGTTCTTTAGGGATCCCTATAATTGGACAGAGCTTCAGTATACTAAGGGCCATGAGGACCAACAAGGGTGAAGAGTGGTTTCAAGAAAGAGTAAGAAAATACGGTCCCATTTCAAAACTTAACCTTTTTGGGACTCCAACAGTTTTCCTCCATGGCCCTGCTGCCAACAAATTCATTTACACTTGCAGCGAAGAACTACTGGCAAATAAGCAACCTGCATCTGTCAGGAGAATTATGGGTGAGAGGAATTTATTGGAATTAAGTGGAGATGATCACAGGCGTGTTAGAGCAGCACTTGTTTCTTTTTTGAAGCCAGAAACTTTGAAGCAATACGTTGGGAGGATGCATGAGGAGATAAGATTGCACCTCCACAACCATTGGTATGGCAACAATGAAATCAAGGTATGCCCCCATAAATGAAACTTTTCAATATTTGGCTGTAATTATTAGTGTAAATTACGATTAGGCTCACAGCCGTCAAGTTAATTAAATTACTCATCACTAACATTTAGTTCTGATTACTACTTTCTTACCCAAGAATTACTGCTTACATCACATCTACAAAAAGTTACGCATCCATCACCCAGACAGTTTCCATCCATCTATTTGGACAAAAAGTTACATGTGGCGAATGAAAACCAAAACCCTATATGTAAACAAACGCCTTTAATTATTGCCACATGGATGAAAACAATTAAGGCCTATTTGATAGACCTTTTTTTTCATGGAAAATGAAATTGATATCTATTTCCTACTTTTGCCATGTTTGATAGCCAAAATTTTCCATGGAAAATATTTTCCTCCCACCCTCTCCCCACATGGCCCCTTTTTTCCTTGTTTTTGTTGAATTGGTTTTCCCACCACTTTGGTGGGAAAATGGTTTCCAACAATTTTTTTTTTTTGCAAGGAAAATAAATTCTATGGACAATTGTAATAAAAAAAAAATTCCTTTAATGGACAATTTTCATGGAAAGTAAAGTCAAACGAACACCAAAAAATACAAAATTTCAACATTTTTTAGGTAAAAAATTATACAAATTAAACACACTTAATTGACAATTTTCAGGAAAACAATTTTAGACAATTCAATTCTTTATAATTCATTTTCTTTCCACCCAAATTTCACTCTTAGGCTGTGTTTGATTAGCCA